ATGAAGGCAAGTTCGATAGGTCGACATGGAAAGCGGGGTCGACGCCCCGGCCGCGGACAAGCCAACGTCCCCCGCGGCCGCTAAGGTACGGTGCTGGTCCAAGGTGCTTGGCGGAAAATCAGAACTGACACTGTGAACTGGCGTGCGGCGGATCTTTTCTGTGGCCAATCAGCTTAATCTTATAAAACAAAGTAAATGCAGTATGCTCACTTTCTATTACTACCGGCATGTAAGCCACGCATCAGCGTGGCTGTACGAGCCGTCAAGGGTCCGAGGCGTACCTCCCTTTAAAGGGCCCTACTACCTACATCAGTCTATCTAGCAACATGCCCGTGCTTTTACCGTCCTCGAAACACGGCACGTTTGGTGGCCGGTGCACCTTGCTGTCTTTCGAACTGAGTCAAGTCTCACGAGCTAGCTGCATGGCCATCGCGCGTCACGGTGCCAGTTGTGGACGCTTGCTGCTGCTTGCCGACCCTAATATGATCACAAAATGACAGTATCGTACTCGTACGAAAGATAGGCTTTTAGCCGTCCTCGAAACACGGCAAGTTTAGAGGGCGGTGCACCTTGCTGTCTTTGGAACTGAATCGAGTCTCACGAGCTAACGTATGTGCGTCTCGAGTTTTGTTGCAGCAGTGATTTGGGTGTGACCGTGGGAGAGGCGAACGAAGCTCTGTCGGTGGTGTGTTGCGGATGTATTAAATACAAAGATTGGCGGGTAGTCTACATGTTGAAAAACTTCATGCACACTTGCAGCTCGGCCATGTTGGCCTTCTTCGACTTGGCGTACGGCTTGGCCACGTGGCGCGACGACGACCGGAACTTGGTCTTGTCCTGGACCTTGCCCGTCTTGGGCGGCGACGGCCCTTCGTCCTCCGAGACCTCGTAGTCGTCCGTGAAGCTCGCAAGCGCGGCAATGTCGGCGTTGACCTTGAAGTTGGTCGGCAGCGACGTCATGAAGAGCAGTGGCATGTCCCAGTCGTCTTCGGCCGGCGGGCTCGCGACGCAGACGGCGCTCATGGCAAGTTGGCAACTGCTTGTTTCTCCCAACTCGTCCTGCGTGCCATTGGCTGAAATGCATCGCCAGCTGAAATAACAGACCAATCACGTTTGTTTGGTTCTGCGGACGCGGATTGGTCTGTGGAATAATCTGAGGCATATGATTGGCCAAAAAGAAACGTCGATCTTTTGGGGGCATGGCCAAGCTCTGCGTCGGCGACCTCGTGCTCTTGGTCGCCCAAGGCAGCGACCTGTCCTGGTCCCCCGAGTCGAGCGCAGATCCCCATCCCGCGATCGGCTTCCTCGCTTCCTGCGAGCATGCAGTTCCTTCCTCGGGGTAGACGAGCAAGATGATGATGGAGATGATGATCGTTCCTGCCAACTTAGGATCGTCCATCGGGCGGCTGGGGTCGAGACGCTCACGCAGACCGAGGCGCTGGAGCCCAAGAGCGTACTGCCATGCGTCTTCCGTGTGGAGGCCGTGCTCAACAAGGAAGACATTGTCCGCGTCGACCTCCAGAGGAAGCTCGATAGCGTACGCCAAGCACGCGTCTTCGCCCTGATGCCAGATGGTCCATGTAGCGTGCGCTCGAGAACGAGATGGCATACAAGGGCTATGGCACCGAGGTGAAGCTCGGGCAATGCATTCGCGTACGTCACCTTGCCTGCTCATGGGCCTGTATGGTGCGTGTTGTAGCTCGTTCATTACCACACCAACCAAGTGCTTTGCATCAACGTCAACGAGCGCGGAGTCAAGCCCTTTACGATGAAGGTAGATCTTTTGCCGGTAAATGGTGCATGTACCGTTGGTAGATTGGCTTCGAGTCCCCACACGCGTTCAACGCCGCCTGCGACGTGCCAGCTCGCGAACAATCAATGGTACGCGAGTCCGACTGTGCGTCGATGCGGCAGCAAGCAACCGTCGTAGGCTCGATTCGTGGCTGGAGGTGCAAGCCCCGGTCAAAACCAAGATGGACGGGGACACGGTCCTTATTGAAGACGTTGTGCATCTCTACAGCGCCCGCTGGGAGCGCTACCTCGACGTCGCAACGAGCCACCTCCAAGAAAGCATCCTCGACGTCGTCGCTGGCAAGGACAAGACGCGGTGGCAGCTTGTACCGTTCGCCAACCATGAGTCGTCCGTACCGGCGCTGCGCGGCGGCGACATTCTGCGCTTCTGCCACGTCGAAAGCGAACACGTCCTCGAACTTGCGTCGGATGTTCTGGCCCTAACCTCGAGAGTGACCTCGAACGCACTCTGGGCGGTCGAGCCCCTTCACGCCAAGTGGGGCGGCAAAGCAATCGCGCTTGATGTGTTCCAGCTGCGCCACGTCGCTACGGGCAAGCTTCTCGCTACCAGTGCGAACGCGCCGCTGTGCGTCTCGGCCTCGTCAACCGACAACGGACCCGCCACGTTCTTCAAGCTCGGTAGCAAGCACGGTGGATCATCAACTACTTTCCACATTCAGCACGAGGAGAGTGGCGTCTGGCTCTGCGGTGTCGCAGGAAACGACGACACAACCATACCCTTGCACTGCTGCCGCACCGTGCGCGACAGCGACGTCTTCCGAGTGCAACGGCCGAGTGCGACCGAAGTGTCCGTCCTTCTGGACGTGCTCTTTACAAAACACCAGTTTGCACGACACTGCGCACAGCTGCAGCGCGTCCCGAACGTAGATTTGCTCGCGTTTCAGGACGTGCAGCCGCTCGAGATTTGCCTGCGGGCGGTGCACAATGTCCTGCGCGAGCACCCGTCGCTCAAGTTTATTCTCTGGGACCAGTCTGTCTTGGCGTCGCTCCTCGACAACTTGGCAGCAATCTTGCACACGTAGGCTTCTCATGGATCGCGTCGGATGTCGCCTTATACCTGTCGTAGGCATCAAGGCGTGTACCAGCGGCACGCGGAGCTGCGCACGTGTGTCCGCGCCCTTTGCTTCCTCATCAAGGACTACGTCACGGACGATCCGACGAGCCAGCGCACGATCCACCCGTACCTTCCGATGCTGCAAGACCTCCTCGGCGCCAACGAAGCTGTCGCCAAAGCGCTCACAGCCTGCGTGCGTGACAACGAATCGTTTCTGCATTGCATTACGCGCCACCAGATCCAAGAGACGCTGGATCGTATGGCGCAACTGGCTGCGTTTGAGTGGGTGCACGAGTACTGGGTCTACCTCGAGACGCTCTGCACGTGCAACGGCGTCGTGCTCGCTCAAAACCAAGCGCTTGTGCTGGAGGAGCTTTTGGCGCGGAACCTCTTGCCCGCGTTGGCAGTTGAAGGCAGCGAGGTGTGCATCCAACTCAGTCTCAACCATGTATCCCAGCGTCGTGAACGACGTCGTTCTCGTGCCCCAAAAGACGACGACGACATGGGAGGTCGTTTCCAGTGCGCTCGGCGAGCCAACACAGCTCTACGTTGCCAATGCGTTACGTCTCCTCGCACGGCTCTACCATGGCCAAGCGAGACCATCGAGTCCGCTGGTGCAGTTCGTCACGGACCACGGGCTGCACTTGCTCGAGAACGAAGGCATTCCCGACTGCATGCGCGCGGGACTGTGCGCGTTCATCACAGCCCACAATGTCCAAGGGCACGCGGCAACGCTATTTTACACGCAAGATTTTTCGGCCGTCTCGGTACAGAATCTTTCGTATGCTTCTCTTTTCTTCACGTTAGGAATGGTACATAGCGCACACGTAGCTGGCTTGCACCGTACAAACCCATGTGCACGCGCGCTGTGGACCCGTCGTCGTCGTGGACGTGGGAAGAATGCATGGACCAGATCACGCCATACGCGACGTTTGCCGAAACCTACTTGACTCGAACCATCACAGCGAGTGCGTGTATCATACTATGAGTGTTATCAACAACGTATCGACGATGCTTTAGACCCCGAAGTGTTGGCACCAGGAACACGCCAGTTGCTTTTGGTCGTGCTTACACTCGCGGAAACCTGCATCTGCCTCGGGTACTACCAGACACCCAAGCTTCTCACCGCACTTGTGCACGTGCTGGTGACGTACCTCGGCTCTGCAACGGGCGATGCCGTCGACATCAAGGTGCGCGTTTGCCACGTCTTGTCCAAGCTTGCGACGGGGCGTCTCAACAACCAAGTTTCGGCGCTTCTGGACGTTGTGCGGCAACACAGTGCGTCGGCCAGTGCGACGACGCACGTTGCACTCGAGGACGCCTTTCATACCGTAACCTCACCCGATGACTACGGCACACTTGTGAACGGAAGTGGAATAGGTGCTCGTTCAAGACGACTGCTACGCAAGTGTCGACTACATTGACGTGCTCTGCAGTCTCTGTCGCCACGGGTGTCATGAGCTCACAATGCTGGCGCTTGGTTTGCTCTACTCGTACTTCAACACGCTCACGGAAATCCGGTGCATCGCCGAGAGCCTCTTGATTCTGACGTCGGACGCGTGGGAGCGCGTCTATGATGAGCTCCGGGATATCGCCATCGCGATGGACTGCGAGAACCCCGAGGCGCCGCTCCATCGGGCCTTGGCTCTCGTGACGGCGCAGCCGCTTGAAAAGTACCAGCAAATGCAGCGATTGCTTTTCCACGTCGGGCTTCATACGATTGTCATTGGCCTTCTCCGACGTCAAGCAACGCGGACGTCGACCGAGTGGGTTCGCCAGTGCTACCAGATCCTAATGCACATGATTGGCTGTGACCGATCGTTCGAGTCGCTTCTCGTGGCGCACGTCGATCTCTTCTTGCGCGACCTCCCGTTCTTCCCGAGCGAAGTGTCCCGTACATACTAGTAGCTTCGTCTATCGCCTCTCATGTCGTGTTAGACTTCGTGCGAAGCGTCTTGGGTCACAACGAAGCGCTCGTTCAAACGATACCAGCCGCGCAAGTCCGTCGCGTCGCCGACTTGCTCGTGGCACCGACGCTCTTCGAAGCGCCGTCGGCGCGGTCGCGGATCCTCGAAGTTTTATTGCATTTGGTCGTGACCAAGCAAGGCGAGTACATTGAGGCCAACCAAACGCTCGTCTTCAACGCGCTCTCGTCGCACCCGACGACCCTCGACCTCTTTACAGAGGAGGCAGGGTACCAAACACGCCTCGACTTGATGGCCCACGTCGACAAGCCACTCGAGATGGCGCTGCTAACGAGCACTCACTGCATCGAGAGCATGCTCAAGGCGCACCCGGACCTCCATCGACTGCACTACCACGCGACGCTGCTGCACCTTCTCTCGGTCTGTAGCCAAGGCAAGAACCACCGGGTCGAAGTCGAGTGCCGGTCGCTTCTTTCACTCGATGACATCGTACGCGCGCTCGTCGACAGTCGCACCATTTTCAGCGTCCGAAAAACGCTTATGGCGTTCCTCGACGCGGCGTACTTTGACGTTCAGATTCCGATTTCTGGCCTGGCCGAGAACCCCGCCGTGTGGTCGCTCCTCCAGTATGTGGTCAACGACCTCACTGTTGTGCTCCACATGGCCGACGCCAAGTATTTCGAGGCCGAGCTGCCGGCAAATGCCGAAGTGACGCTGGCGACACTCACGTCCGAGGCGCGTATCTTCAGTGCGATATTGGCTTTCCTCGACGACGGCGTCCTACCGATGCTGACCAACTTTTTCTCCCAAGTTGCCGTGACATTGACAACTGCGCACGCAAAGCACAGTCAAGTGACAATGAACATCGCTGCCGTCCTTGTCAAGGTGCAATCGCCTGACTCGAGGTAGTCTCATCAAGTTGTAGATTTTGGACATTCCGCATCTGCCGGAGCGTACCAAGACCGCCACGATCGCAGTCGTGTCTAGCATCAAGGAGAACGAAATCTTGGCCAAGCACTCGCCTGCCGTCACACTCACATCTGGCGCGAGCAGCTTCTCGCGCCTCGTGCACCACAAGCAGCTCACAATTTCCGTCTTGCGCGTCTGGAAGAACGAGATCAAGCGCCAGTCTCTTTGGCACAAGGTCAAGCGAGAGGCCCCGCGGATCAGTGCGATCTCGAAGGCGGCGTCTATGCGCCCACGGAAGGATTTTGGGTCCTTTCGGCTCCGGTACCGCGTCGACACCAAGGCGAATTGCACCATCGACACGCCCATCGAGGACTTTATGCAGGCGCAACTACGGAGCTTTCTCGGTGGGTTCGAGTCCACGGCGCTGCATCGCTCGACGCTACTGCAAGCCGAAACCTCGTTTGTCCATGCGCTCTTGTCACCGTCCATGGACGATGTGGTCGGCCACGTCATTACCTACATGTGCCAGCACGATAAAGAGAGTGCGACCAACGCCCACGAACAGCCACACGTGCACTTAAACCTCCTTGGATGGCTCCTCGACGGCCGCGACGAGGCCCTGAGCGAGCAGCAAGACCGACTCGCCCGTCTCGGGGGTGGCGCCATGGTCCTGCAATTGCTCTCGAAAGCCATCCACGACATCACCGGGTACCCGGTCCTCGTGCAAGAGACTCTCCACGTCGGCCTTGCCATGCTGCGCAACGGCAACCCACGCGTACAAGTCGACATGTTTGCCCATGTTGAAGCGCTCGGTGAGTCGTTCATGAGTCGACTCGTGCACTTTTTACGACTGCCGCACGACGAGGATCTCATGCCGATCGTGATGGACCTCCTCGAGTTCCTTCGGCTCCTCTGCGAAAACCACTTTGCGCCAATGCAGCTCTACGCACGCAAGCAGCTAAACGCATTGCGCACGTACGACCTTGTCGACGAAGTCATCTCGTACCTCTGTGGCTTACTCTGGGTTGTGGACCCGCGCACGCACTCGCTGGTGTGGAACATCACGTCGCCGATGCACCTCAGCGTCGTCGTCCAGGCGCTCAACACGCTCGCCGAGTTTGTGCAGGGCTGCGATGCCAACCAACGGTCTGTGGGCGTCTCGACCAAACTCCTCCACGCCATCAACGACCTTTTGCGCCACCACTATGTGAACCACCCGTCATTAGTGTCGTCGGAGGCGGAGCTACCGCTCGTGTACGACAATTGCAGCGTCGCCCAAGTCCAAGAGCTCAAGCACAGCGCAATTGTGCTCGTCTACAGCATTCTCGAAGGCAACCGCGATGCTCGCATGCCAGCCCACGTGCTATCGACACTGGACACGGCGACGTGGGGCGCCTACTGCTGCGACATCAAGTGCGAGTATGAGATCTACACCCGGCTTCTCGAGCGCGCTCTCGAGACGACGTCGGCAACCAAGGTCACCGTGACGATCGACGCGTCCGAGCACGAGCGGCTTCTGTCCGCGTCGCTTGAGGCTGACGAGGCGTCCGTGGAGAAGCTCCAAGCCAAAGTGCGCAACCACTGGACCATCTGCTGTGACGTCTACGTGCTCTTTCAGACGCTCTTTGCGCCGTGCGACGATGCGGGTGTCGTGGCGCAGACTCAGCTCGAGGCAGGCGCGCCGTCGTTCTTCAGTTGGACCAAGCTCGCCGCGAGCGTCGGGTCGATCGAGATTGTGCGCGAGAGCGAGCTCGAGACCATTTACGGGTGCGATTTCTCTTTCTTGCATTTTTACATGTTGCGTGCGGCGTAGATTCCCGACATTTGCCTGTCGCACTGGGAGCACCGCGTCGTTCGCGACTCGCGCGAGCGCATGGTCTACATGTTTACCAAAGACAGCCAGGTACCGAACGAGCTACGACCGCGTGACGCTTCAAGTGGACGGTCGTAGATGAGCAAGCTCGACAACTTTCATCGGTACTCAGTGCTGCTCCTGGAAGAGCTCCAGTATTGCGCCCACCTGGACGCATCGCCGTCGCCATTCCTCCGCCTGGTGCTACAAGCAGAAGACCCCGTCATGCGCCTGTACACGTTGATAATAGCTTCTACTTGCGCGGACCACCCTTGGTGTAGGACCTTTTGGCTCGCACTGGGCCTCAACGGACTCCACCTCTTCAACCACGTACGAAACACATGACTCATGCGTGACTTCCGACGTTGCTCTAGAGCTTTGGCACGGGCGACATGGCGGCCGTCGACGCCCGCGTGTACGTGCTTGCGGTGATCATGGCGGTGTCGCACTTTTGCTTTCGCTGGTGCGCCTTGTCGTGTCGATGGTGTCGCGACGTCAGTATATTCTGAGCAACTACAAGTGGCAGCGCCTCCGCGCCGAGACATCTGGGGCGCCGCGCGTGCTCCAGAACGAAGCTGTGTCGACGCCGCTCTTGACGACCCATGCGCTTGTCTCGTTGCCGTCCGACCTCGTCAAGCTCGTCCTCGATCGTCCGTCGGTGCCGAGTGGGACGTGCAAGACCTTTACGGCATCCTCGCGGTCGCCAATGCCAAGCACGGACGTGCCCATTGAAGCCCACGTGTCGTCGTTGGCCCTCGTTGTGTACAACACAAAGTACAACCTCCTGTACTGCGTCCTCGGGTAGACAATATTCTTCGCAGTCATCATGGGAAGGCGACGATGTGCTACCGTAGTGGCCTCGGCTGTCTCTTGCTCGTACCCGCGCTCTCGGTGCGCGGTCTCCGCATCGTGTGCTATGCCCTCATGCTCTTGGACGTCTGCTTCCACCGGACCCTCTCCAACGCCCTTTTGGCCGTCGAGCAGAACCGCAACTCGCTCGTTCAGACGTACTACGCAGCGCTGTCTCCAAGGCCCACATCCCTTGTACTAGGTTTTATCTCATTTGCGTCGTCGTGTACATCTACACGGCGGTCGGCTACATGCTTTTTCATGACCACTACGGCGTCCTCGACGAAGCCAACACGGGCTGCCGAACGCTCATGGAGTGCGTCATCACGCACTTCAACCAAGGCCTACGCCAGGTCTTGCTCTCTTTCGACGGCGATGTCGACTGGCCATGCGTAGGACATTGCGTCCGTCATGCACATTGTGTCGTGGCAAAGCAACCCAACCATCTCGGTCCTCCGTCTCGGGTTCGACGTGTCGTACTGGCTCATCATTTGCGTGCTCTTGCTCAACATCATCGGTGGCATCATCATCGACGCCTTTGGCGAGCTGCGCGACCACCGGTCGTCGATCGAGAAGGACATGGAGAGCAACTGCTTCATCTGCGGCATCGACAGGTACGACTGTAAGATCTCGTAGCCTTGGTCACCGCGCCCGTAGCTTGCAGTTTCAGCGCCATGGCGATGGGTTTGACTCGCACGTTCGCCACGACCACAACATGTGGCAGTACATGTTTTACCGCCAGGTACATATCATGACGACAACCTGGTCGCGGGGTCCACACCATCCTCCTCAACCTAGCACCTCTACGAGAAAACGCGCCAAGAGTACACGGGCCAAGAGAGCTACGTCGCGGGTCTCCTCATGTAAACCAACGCTCGACTGCATTGCCGTATGTCATGACATATAACGGCTAGGGCCGGCGAAACGTCGTTTTACCCCGTCGGCAAGGCCAAGCGCTTGAGGACGACTGCGTCATGAGTCGTTGCCCGAGATCGTTAATTACAAACGTCGACGGCGCCTTGAAGTTTGGTTGACCGCTCACCCTGGATAGCCAGCACCGCCTTCTTTCGTCGCGAACGGGCAACCTTTCCGCGATCTGCAGCTGCCACGTACGCTGGCGCCGCCATTACTTCCCGCGGCCGGTCCCCACGGTGTCGCTACAGGATGTGCTTGGCGTCGTGGCAGCCGCGCGTCTGGGCGGAGCCTTCGCGGCTTCGGGAACCTCCATGTGGCCGATCGTCTACCACGGTCCGATCGCATGAGCGTCGCAGGCGCAGCTCCAGCTGGCCGCCATCTTGGTCGGCGTGATTGTCTGCGTGAGGAATTGCGTCGGTGGCGTCCAGCGATGCGATTGGTTATCCTTTTGTCCAATCACGCGATGGATTCCGCCCAAACCAGGCTTCTGGCCGTTTCTCATTGGTGCAAAAGCGTGGCGCATGTCCCGACGCGGCTTTTTATAAGTCACGTGGTCTTTTCTTCGAACGAGTATAATTCAATTGAAATAATAATAATAATAAAATCAACGAAAATCCCAAGGTCATTTCCCAAGACGCGTTGGCACCAGTAGGTCAGCAGCATGCAACAGGCCGTGTACTCGAGCAGTGGCCTCGGCGCGGGCCCGCCGGCGCCCGTCGTCTCGCCGACCGCCAAGCCGCGCACGGAGGCGCCGCCGACACTCATGGACCTCGAACGGCTCTCAATGCTGCCGGCGGACTGCAGCTGCTTCCTCAACCAGCTCACCCTTGGCAGCTCGGCGCGGTGTTGTTTCAACATGGAGCCCACGACTACGTTCTTGAACCCCGCCTCGTTTGGCTTTGCGCCCAAGCCCGTCCTCGCCGCGCAGGCCTACTTTGTCAACCGCATGGAGATGAACCCGGACCGGTTCTACCGGCGCGAGCTGCCGACGCTCCTCCGCAAGTCGGCCGAGCGCCTCGCCGAGTTTGTCGGCGCCGACTCGGACGACATTGTGTTTGTGCCCAACATCTCGCACGGCGTCAACTCGGTGCTGCGATCGCTCGACCTCCAGGACGGCGACGAAGTGCTGTGTATGAGCTCGACGTACCCCGGCGTCTTTAACACGCTCCGTCACATTTGCTACATGACGCAAGAGGTTGTCGAGCTCAAGGTCGTCGACGTCAAGCTCCCGATCCCGTCCTACGACTCGCTCATCACGCAGATCATCGCTGCGATCACGCCCAACACGCGCGTTGCCGTGCTCGACCACATTACGAGCTCAGGCGGCCTCGTCCTTCCGCTCGAGAAGCTCATTCCCATGCTGCGCGCCCGCGGCGTGTACACGCTCATCGACGGTGCGAACGCGCCAGGCCAGCTCCCGCTCAATCTGCGCGAGCTGCGCCCGGACTTCTACGTGGGCACGACGACCAAGTGGCTCTTTGGCTCCAAGTCGAGCTCGTTCTTGTTTGTGGACCGCGAGCACCAGTCGGTGATCCGCCCAGTCGTCACGTCGCTCGGCTACAACCAGGGCTTCCTCGAGGAGTTTGCGGTCCAGGGCACGAAGGACGAGTCCAACTACCTCACGATCGCGACGTCGCTGGACTTTTACCAGAACCTCGGGTTCGCCCGCGTCTTTGCCCACAACAAGGGGCTCATCGACTGGGCCTCGAGCTACCTCGCGACGCTCTGGGGCACGGAGCCGCTCCTCCCGCCGTGGCAGCGCAGCCCTTTTGTGAGTGCGATCCGCCTCCCGATCGAGTGGCCGACCAAGAAGCACTCGAAGGAGCCGCTTTCGGCCGACGAGAAGCTGCAAGTCTGCGAGTTTGTCATTGACATCCTCATGGACCAGTGCCAGATCGTGACGAAGGTGCTTCCGATCCAGGGCCAGATGTACATTCGCATCTCGGCCCAAATCTACTCGGAGCGCTCGGATTTTGAGCGCCTCGGCAGCGCGATCCAGCGCATGACGTCATGTCCTTCCTTCATCGAGATGTTTTCCGATATGCGTGTTTAAGCTTGTAACCTATTAACTAAGAACTTCGCCCCGCTCGCTCTCTTGATCGTTGCCTGCCATACCCGTCCATACCCCGCGTAGCCAGCCGTCCAGATGGCCGCCATGTTTCGCAACCACGAGCATTTCTGTGGCCACAAGCAACGGCAGCCACATCCTCTTCCTCTCATCCGCCGCCGCGTCGTCCGAGTACGGTAGGACAGCTGACGTTGTCCTGCACGCATGGCAGCTCGACCAGGCACTTGGACTTTTCACGCCGGGGCTGCAGAAGGACGCGCTGAATGCATTCTACGATCTCGACCATGTATATCAGATCTTAGCTCACGGACCATCAATTGATGCGCTCCATGCATCGACCTCCGCTAATGCCATGCAGCGGCCCACCACCATGGTGGGCGTGGTCGGTTCCCGCGTCGTCCTGGCGCCTGCCCGGCCAAGCTGCCATGGTTGTGGCCCTGCTGGAAGACGATCCTCGAATCTCGCCAGCCGAGATTTGGTTGAAGAAGACAAGCGTTGACGGGTGGGATTTCGAACATTGTTTTTTATGCGGAAGGTGTGTTTTTTTCGTCGCCTGTTCAGAACACAAGCCGACGACAGGAGCCGCCGCCGCAAGCATGTGCATCATCCTCGACGAGTGCTTGATGCTGATGGTCCTCGCGCTGCAGGCGCTGACGGTGCTGCCGTCCATCGCTGTCTCGCGCGAGACGGGCATCGCGATGCTGGCGCTCTACCTCACGAGCGCGTTCGTCTCGATCGGGTTCGCCTTCCTCTACACGCTGCGCAACTGCTGCAGCTGCGTCAACCACCTCCAGCGCCATGGCGCCAAGCTCTTCTACCTCCTGCACCTGGGCCTCATTGCGTTCTCGATCGCGACCATCTCGACCTTTATGAAGCCGTACTTCTCCACGACCGAGTTCCGCACGTACTGCGAGAACCATGGCCTCGACGACAACCTCTCGGGCACGAGCTGCGTCCTCCTCGAGGGCTACATGGTCGTCGCCGTCATGGCGCTCACGCTCGAGATCGGCCTCTCGATCTACATGCTCACGATCGGCCGGCGCATCGCCAAGAAGCAAGCCATCGAGTACGCTCGCCTCGTGCGCGAGAAGAGCATGGAGGACGCCGAGCTCCCGAGTGTCACGCGCAAGCACTCGACCGTCAAGAAGGGCGTGTCGGACGTCGCCTAAGGAGCCACTGTTGCATTGAAAAACGATAATCCAGCATGCATTGCTCGTACTCACCATGGAGCTCATGGCGTCCAGCGAAAAGCAGACGCGCTCTCATAGCCAAGAGCCTCTCAGCCTCTTCGAGGGCGTGAGAAGAACGCAAGAGGGTCTCTTGCATCCCATCCAACGTTGCGTCGAACATCGGTCAGCGTGACATTTCTCGTGCAGTCAGTTGGCCACTATGTAGGTAGCGCAAGCTGCAGCAAGCGTCCACAACTGGCACATTGGCGCGCGATGGCCATGCAGCTAGCTCGCGAGACTCGACTCCGTGCCAAAGACAGCGAGGTGCACCGGCCACGAAACTTGCCGTGTTTCGAGCACGGTAAACGCCTATCTTTTGTACGATAATGTCATTTTTGGATGTTTCGCGCCGGCAAGGAGTCGAAACGCTCTCTTCAAGAGAAGGCGGCTCAGCGAAACCAACGACTGGTCGGACGAGCCTCGCATTCTAGTTTAGATCTTTCCCAAGCATTAGGTACTTATGGCTCACCCTCAGTACGCGAAGAAGTCCCATGTCATGGTTCTTCCCGAGCAAGTCCCCGACAAATCGCGCGCTCAAGTTGCGAGCGGCGCGCTCGATTGGCCGGTGTACGCTTGCATCACGGAGGTGGCTCGTGCGCGACGCGGTCGCAAGGTGCTCACGCTCACGACCCGCCCGGCGGATGGCTCGCCCGAGATCTCGTTCACGATGCTGAAGGACGAGTGCATCTTCGCGTGCGCATCGGCGCAAGAGGCCCGCTCGAACATAGGCGCTCTGCTGCGTCGGTTTGTCATCTTCCGCCTCCACGGCTCGGCGACGGCGGGACAAGTCGTGGCGGTGCGCTGGTCGAACAAGTCGCTCACGGTAGCCAACGCCGGAGGCACGTACGACGTCGGGGCGGACGAGGTGCAGCAGTGCCACCCAATTGGCGCCTCGGCCTTGTGGGGAATGGAGGTCGAGCTCGGCGACGGTGCCATGGCGACGCGGCGCTTCACCGCCACCGCGCTTTTGCTCGAGACCATGCGCCGCCGAGTGGAAGACCCGGTGAACGGATCGCGCAAATTTGAGGTCGTCTTCCGAGGCACCGCCGACGACGCGATGCCCACCGCAGACACTCGGCTTGAGATCCGCGCGCCAGCGACCGGCGCACGCACGTCTATCTCCGTCCAGCATGTCGTCGACTTTTTCTTTTCGCCGTGGAAGGACGCGTGCGGCCGGGTGACGTGGCCGTCGGCGAGACGTTCTGGCGCGACCCGCGCTACGCTGAGGCGGTCGGCGGTGAGGATCTGGAAGGAGAAGTGGGTCACGACGACGAGGAAGTCCCTGTGGTAGTGACCATCCGGCGTCGTGTCGCAGTCGTGCGACCACCACAGCTGGAGCCTAACATCGGTGCCGCGCCGCGTCCAGAAGGCGAGTTCTGGGCGCAAGGACATGGCACTCCTCCACCACGGTTGGATGAAGGTGGGCTGCCGGCATGGGCAGCGCACCACCATGGGCTCGTCGCCGCCGGCGAGGGCCTTAAGTCGGACGCCCACGGCATTGCAACAGGCGCGCACCTCCCGGTTCACGGTGCTCCCCAATCACGCTACTGGCTTGCTGGCTCCGCGTTGGCAGCCGCAGCGGCTCCGTACGCAAACCCAGCGGGACCACTGTCGAGCCACTGGACACCAGGTCAAGCGAGTTACTCTCTCACCAGGTCGAGGCAGCCAACAGGGCCCGCGCGCCTACCGGTCTCTGCGGGAGCAATACAGGGCCCGGACGCCGCAGCGGCGGCGGCTATTGCCCGTCAGATGGTCCAGGCTGCGGAAGAAGCTCGAAACAAACGCCAACGCATGGACTTCGAGCTCAACCCGACGGCACTCGGTATCCACTACATCACAGCCAGCGCGCGCACGGCTGGCTGGTCGCTGTTAAAGTACATGGACAAAATCCGCACGGACCCGACACTCCCCTTCTACAAGCACCCAGAAGTGTTGCGGGCCCTGTACAGCTTCGATTTTGGCAGCGGCCGCCTGTCTCTTTCGCATCTGCAACGCCGGACGCAAAGCCAAATCGACACTTGGACGCACACCCACATGGACCTGACAGCCGCCAAACCGACGGGTCGAACAACACCGGTCCACGCCTTGTCGCCGGATGCCTTGGTCGGGGCTTTGGACACGCTCTCGATCTACACAGAGAGCTACTGCGCGCCGGTGGTGCAGCAGTTCGTCGCCAAGGCAGGGTGTCTGCTCCGTCACATGGTGCGAGAAGGCGAGGTCACAGCCCACACCGGTTACGTGGCTCGGTGGTTGGACTGGGCGTTAGCGTGCTTCCGCATGGACATGGCGCACGACGTCGAGAGCGACGCGGCCATCCTCACGCACTGGTCCTCGCACGAAAACCTTTCCTGGAGCTCTCCGATGCTCGCGTCCTTGGCCCGCACGGCACGAAATGACTGCATCCGCCAGCTCATGGACAGCCAAGCTGCACTGCAGCGCAGCCGCGACGCTCGGCAAGGAACCGGCGGCTCTCACGACGCTGCGAAGCGGCGCAGTTCAAGGGCGCCGCCGCGGATCTGACGATCCAGAAGTTTGGCAGCGACGCGCGCATCGACGATGTGGCGATCGCTCCGCGGGCCAGCCGCATCGCCTTTAGGGGATCTAGCCGCCACGCCTCACCCGAGGTGCAGCGGTAACGTGGGCCGTTTTTCCCCTGAGCCAACAAGCCTTGTGAAAATCTTCGGGTCGGCAAGCAGCAGCAAGCGTCCACACGTCGCACGGTGACGCGCGATGGCCATGCAGCTAGCTCGTGAGACTCGACTCAGTGCCAAAGACAGCGAGGTGCACCGGCCACCAAACGTGCCGAGTTTCGAGGACGGGACAAGCCTAGTTTTTGTTGAATAATGTCAATATTTTGTGGACCTATTGTCTCGCATATTGGCAAGATGCGACGCTGCCAACGACTTAAAACGTGGTCCTTAATATAACCTCATAATACAAACGGCTATCGTACACTATTTCCCGGCTTACAGCTCGCCTGTGAGCACATACTGAATGTTGAGCATCGTCGTGAACGCGAGGAGAAGCGAAATGCTTGTCGCGAGCTTCGACTCGGTGTCTTCGAGCGACTCGGGCAAGAGCTCGCAGATCGCAACAAACGCCATGGCACCACCCGCGAACCCGAGACCGGCGGGCAGAATGGGAAGAAACGTCTCGACAAAGAGGAACGACGGCACGGCAAAGAGCGGCTGCGGCATGCTCGAGAGGATGCACCACACGGTCGCCGGCAGCAGCTTGAGGCCGCGCGGGATGAGCACCAAGCAAATCTATTTGTTCGCATTGAGCCATCCTATACTGTACGAGATCGATGACGCACCGCGAGGCCTTCGGGGATGTTGTGGATGGCCAGCGTGAGTGACACGAGGAGGCCGCGACGGTCGCCGCCCTCGCCGCCAAACGAGACGCCGACACCAATCTACAGCATAGCATGAGGGACGCGACTTTAAGCGATAAGCACGCACGCCTTCCGAGATCGAGTGCAGCGTCATGACGGCCATGATCAGCAGCGCTTTTTGCGCGTCGAGTCCTAATGGCCGGTGAGGTACACGGTATGAGGCAGTTGGTATCCTACCGTCGAGGCCACACACTTTTACATCTTCGTGCTCGTCCAAGATGATCTTGGTCGTCTTGATGAACACAATGCCAAAGAGGACACCGAGCAGCAGCCGCACGTTGACCGAGAGCACGTCGTCGTCCTTGGACTGGACGTGGAACGCTTCGTAAAAGAGGCAGCTCGTCGCGGCGAGCATCATGCCAGCCGCCAGTGCTACATAAAGCGATGATGGCGACGCTCGCAGACATCGGAGGACGCAGTACCATTGCAGACGCCGAGCCAGAATTTTTCGATGTCCTTGACCCAGAGAAAAGGCACGGCGCCAAAGCCCGTCGAGACCGCCGTGAGCCAGCCGCACCACCAGACGTAATGCCAACTGCGGATACCGCCCGTGTACGGGTAGCTAATGAGCGTCACGGCGATCAAGACCATGGTCACAAGCGCTTCCGGGCGCAGCCAGGCAGACGTGTGTGGCTTGACGACCTCGGCCTTCTTGAGCGCATCTGCGTCGACGCCCTCTTCATTGGCCTTGAGCGGCTGGACTTCCATGTCGAGGCTGCCCGCGGCCTTGCGCTCGGTGCAAGCGGGTGCGCTCGGAGCTTCGGTCTGCGCCATGCCAAGCAGGAATGAGGCCGGTGGTGTTGTCCGCAGTTAATAATTGCGCGTCATAAAATACATTTCATCACGCGTTCGCACGTTCTATCTCGAATAAAGTATACAGCGGGCGTTCGATGCCATAAAAATATAGCCGGTCAAAGAAAAGCATCAGGACAAGTCCGAATTCAATGGCCGTTGACGAGACAAGGCTAATTGCACCACTCTTTGCCACCACCCTTTCCTTGCACTGGCGAGAGCGGCGTGGCATGGTACGACGGTGGCACGCTTGCGTGCTCCTGTTTCTAGTAGATGGAAGATGCAGTGCGACGCAGCTGCCGTACAGAGGGCAAGGACGACCGTTTGCAGCGTTAATTTCGCTTGGGAGAGACACCGCCTCGTCTCTGCTATTAACGTTGCGTGTGCCTAGCCCGAAAACCAACCAGGCAGAGCCGAAACCAAGCCGAAACGTAGGACGACCCACCGTGTGTTACATACGTGGCGGGCCGGATTCGAAGACGTCCACGTGCCCATGCTGGGTGCGGCACGCGCTCGACGTCCGAATCTCTCCGCGCGCCATCCCACGCTGCATCGTCGGTCCTCGAGCAGCCTGCTTTTCGGATTCAACATGCAGCAACCCAAGCTGCACTTGCATCTGGCGGCTATCCCGCGTGCCACCATCGACCGGCAAATGGATGCAGCATGGCCCATGCCGGCAACGTCTACAACTTCAGAAGACCATAGAAACTTGGCTGCATAAGCGTTGAAGTGACCGGTGTTGACAGCTTGGTGCATGGCCGAGCGACGTTCCGACGTCCGGCAGTATGGCTGTGCACGCGGCTTGCGGCGCGACGTTGTGTGGTCGCTTGCCTCGTCGATCTCACTGTCGGCGGCCGTTGCGAGATCCAGGCGCGGTACGCGAGCAAGTGTCGACCAGGATAAAACGCGCGTTTTCGGCCTGTTTAAACGTGTATTACCTTGGTTTAACCTCGGTTTTAGTCCACCACGTTTTTCTCGCAATTCGATATTCACAGGATGACCGACGATCGGCAGAGGTGGAGTGCGTCGATGCTGACCTTTCGCGGGTACACGAGGCTCAACGACATTCTCACGGACGAAGAGCACAAGCATCTCGACAAGAAGAACCTCGAGCATCTGCAGTACGTGCGCGTGCGCCACTCGGGCCTCAACTGCGCCAACCCGACCGAGATTGCGATGCCAGCGATCTGCTTGCCGCTCGACAGGCTCGGCGGCGCCATCGCGCTCCGCGACTACAACGACGTGCAGGCCATCATCGGGCGCTGCCGGTGCGGCTACGTGTGCCAGGCCTACTACTTTACGCGCGACAGTACGTGTCTCGCCCAATATGTAGTTCATGGCGCACGTCGACTCATCGCGTTGTAGAGTTTGGCAACAGCTGGAAGGCGATTGCGCTCAAGGTCATGGACAAGAATCTCATCGCGATCGAGCGCGACGACATTGGCAACGAAGTCCGCATCATGGCCCAGCTGCAACCGCATGGGATGAGTACGCCGCTCCGAAGCAAGCACGTCCTTCGCTGGGCCACGACCGCATGCGCCAGGAATGAATACATTGCAACCGATTACGTTGCGAGCGGTTCGCTCTCGTCCTTTCTGCGCCGCGCGTACGAGTCGATGCTCAAGAAGCACGCGCAGAGCGCGCTCCTGCCACTTGACTTGCGCCATCGGGTCGCGCGCGAGTTTCTAGAGACGGTCGCGCTCCCGCTCTATGGCAGCATCCTCCAAGGGCTCGTGTACATACACACGCAAGGCGTGTGCCACCTCGATATTGATCCGTACAACATTGCGGTCGGGCGCGAGCACGGGCCCGAGCCCGGGTCGCCGTACCATTACTTTGCCACGTACATTGACTTTGGCTCGAGCCAGCTCCTCGACGGGCGACTGCTTGTCGGTGCGGGCCGCGAGAACCCAGCGATCAAGGCCAAGATCACGTACCGGTCGCCCGAGCTAAAGACGAATGCGCAAGAACGCACGCGCTACATCAACTATGTCAAGCACCACCGCGGCGCGATGAGCCTCCAGGAAGAGCGCAGGGAGATGCCGAAAGGCTTTGACGGCCGCGCGTCCGACCTCTACTCGGTCGGCGTCGTCGTACGACCTCTCCGCCATCGCATCGTACATGCATCATGTTGTGACTAGGGCATTGAGCTGCTCCTGTACGGCTTCCAGCTGCCGGGCTTCCTCGGGTCCGCCTTTGTCTCGACGAGCAGCAACCCCAAGTGGCGCGACTTCTTCGTCGAGCACTTTGACAAAAGCGGCGTGTGCCCGACCCCGTGTCTCTTTTGCGACCACAAGATCACGCTGCCCGAGTCTGCGGTGCAGATCCTCTTGCGCCTCGTGGGGCTGGACGTCAAGGCGCGAGGCTCCGCCGACCAAGCCGCACTGGAGTGGATGGCCGCGCACGGCGACAAGACAGACATGACAGCAGCACAGTACGACGGCGTGGTCATGGACGACGTCGACATGGCTTCGCATTCCGCGTCGTCGGCCTAAGCTTATATACCTCAAGACCTCTTGTCTTATAGATCGCTGAGTCCAGCTACTCGCTCCACGCAAGGCTGCGCCGTCCGCGGAACCGCGTTTTCTACGCGTTTAAACATGCGCACCGAGATGGTCGAGGAGGATGATACAGCGTACGGGTCCATCGGTGGTGGGTGGTGACGGCTGCATGCTACTACTGCTGGACGCTGCGTCCGTCCAAGTCCAATGGCTCCATGAGCTCGTCCTATACGCGAGGCGTGTGAGACGTTGCAAGCCTTTGCGACAGCGCGGACCAAGCGGTCATGGAGCTCCTGGTTGTTCGGCTTGGCGCGACAAGTTGCTTGAAAACCTGCTGCGCGGCGCTGCTCAAGGGCGGCAAGGCCGGCGGGTCCCGTCGCGATACCGCTGGTCGACGGAGGCTTTGGACCTCCTTGATAAGCCGTGCCATTTGCCGCTGCAGTGACACTTGCGACGCCTCGAGGGACGCGATCGCCGACGTCTGCGCGGTCGCGTCGGCTTCGAGGCGCGTTTTTTGCCGACGGAGCGCCGTCACGGGCACGCGCTGCGTGTCGAGCTGTTTCGAGAGCGTCATGACGAGCTCCGATGGCGTCTTCTCGGCGGCGGTCGTCGACGGCTGCGGTGCTGCTGTCTTGCGGCGCGCGCTGTGTGGCACTGGTATCTTGGACTCTGGCCGGCGCGCCTGTAGAGGGACGAACGATTGCTGCGACGGAGAAAACAGAAGAGGTTGCATTACACTGCGTGCGACCCAGAGGCCAAAGGCCATCGCAACACGAAGTTGGCGCCGGCGCACGGCCTTGGCGAGCACGCGTCGCAGCGCTTTCTTGGCCTTCTCCGCTGCGCTCAGCCGCGCCTTGATAGGGTGGAGCCACGCAAAGGCGGGCCCGAGCACGACGGGCTCGGGCGCGGCGGTCGACGACGCCTTTGCGAGCGCCAGCTGCAGCGCAATGTTCTGCTTTGTGAGCTCCCGCACCAGGCCGTCCATGGCAAGAAGGGACGCCGGGATATCTTATGAGCCACGTTGAAACCGGCGACAAGCGTTTTCGCTGAAGCAATCAGCCAGCACACGAGTTGGTTCACCTGACAGATTACCCAGTTGTTGGTATAGGTAGGTCATTACTCGCTATCGCTCTCGCCGAGTACGTAGTCGTTGGCAAAGGCTGCCGCTTGGAACGCCTTCTGGAGCTCCAACTGCAATGCCGGGCGCGCCAGAGTCGACGACGAAGTGGACGGCAGTGGAACGTTGCAGGGCGCAACGACGGTGGGCGCTTCGACTTCGACGCCGTTGACGCGCTCGGGCGGCAACACCCGTTGGTCGAGGACATCCTACAGTCTTGGTGAGCCGTTTCCATAGCTTTGCCGACGACGACGCACGTGGAGTTCGTCCATGACCGAATGCAACGAGGGCAACAAGAGGCCATTCTTCTCTGGTGCAACGGCAAGCGCCTCGTCGGCCTCGGTGCGCCCGGTGCTGAGCGCCGTAAACACCTCGGTCACGGTCGGATCGACGGGCGCCGGTACCTCTACTGCTCTTTCAGTCGACACCACGCTGTCGCGATCGATCGGCGGCGGTGTGGCGGGCTCCTCGGACGCGGGTCCGTCGACCTAAAGCGACGACTGAGCCCTGGCTTTCATGGGCTGCGTACGGAAGGAATGGATGCTTTCTCCCACGTGCACATGGCAGCGACAGCGTCGTTGACAAACTTGGCCACGCGCGCACGCGTCGCTCCGTCGTCGTCGTGGCCGTGCGCAAGGTCCTGCTTGTACGCGTAAAGGAGTGCGTTGGCCGAGTCGAGTGCGACTTGGACCCGGTGGGCGTGGTGCCAGGTACTCGTCGGCGGGAAGCGAGGGCTGGGTGTGCGTACAGTCGCACATGGCAGCGTCGATTCACCTGAAGCCGACTCGACGTCGGCGACGCGATCGCATAAGGTGGCGACGGTCGCGACGAGCCGGTGAAGCTGCGTCGCGGCGTCGTCGAGCGCCGACACGGACGACACGACCTGGGCACGAAGCGTGTTGAGCTGTGTTTGTAGCGCCGCACGCGCGGCCTTTTGCTGGTTGCTTAACGCGAGCAAGAGCAATGACGGCGCCGCGTCATTCGTCACTTGCACGTTCATGACGTACGTGGGATCCTGAAGCTGCGCAAAGACCTCGCGCAGTAGGACACGAAGGTGCACGCAGCGTAAGTCGTCGATCGAGCTCGCTCGGTTGGCCTCGAGTCGGGCAATGGGTGGGAGGAGCGTGTCGAGATGGTAGCCTCGGTGGACAACCTCGGCCGCCTTGATCCGCCGCAACGAATGGGCCACCACGTCCTAGGACCAGCTGCCGCCACTTGAACCAAAGACACGCCATACCTCGAACGCTTGCAGCGTGGCGTCGAACAATGCAAGGTGCTCCTGCCACGCGCGTAGAAGCACCGTCGCGCGGCGCTGCGCTGCGATGCGCACCTACACCATAGCGTCGTTTGTTGCCAGAGCCGAGTGGGCGAGTACGGACGTAGAAGCACCACGTGGCGAGGCCAAGTCGGACCAGGAGCACGCTCAAGGGAATCGTAGCGAGCGCGATGCGGAGCCATACGAGCGAGCCCGCGATCGAGAGGCCGTAGAGGACCGCGACTGCAGCGGCAATGAACGACGGCGACGGCGGATCCACGCTTCGCCACGCACCTTGTATCGAGGCAAGCAGTGAACGCTGCGTGCCACTGCGCAGACCATCGTGGGCGTCTTGAAGGCCTTGCTGTTGCAGCGCAGCCATCGACGGCCAGGGCGGGAACAAACCAGCGCGCAGCGAGTGCCACGACATTGTCGCCCATCGGCTCAGCACCTGAGTTGCTTGCTGCGTCCATTTGGATGCATCGGCGACATGGAGCGAGGATGCTCGCAGCTCGTCGTCGAGCGAGCTGGCCTCGGCAGCCCCGACGGACGCCAGGTACGCGTCGAGTGCTTTCGAGTGCTCCGTGACATACATTCTTACGACTAATCACACGCAGCTTTTGGGTGCCGAGTGATGGTGTTTTCACGTATGGGACGGACGGTGCGGGCATAGCTTGACTAGAGGGCACGCAAAAGCTAGCAAGCATGGCTAGCAAGGGTGCAATTAACCTGTGCCATGGCTTGTTGGCGTCGTCGTGGCAGCTGTTGACGGGTGTGGCAGTTGCAACGCCGCCATCTTGTGCCAAGTGGCGTGCGAATAGCCGCAAAGCGTGAACCGAATTCGGAAATTGCGAAATCTTTTTCATTTCGCATAAAATAAACTTGTTTTTTGTATCCCATGCGCAGGTTTTACGCGCGACCAGTTATTAAATTCGCGTGGTTGATTGGTGAGACCGATATCTCCAGAAGCAATGGTGAAGCAAGCGGCG